GTATGTGGTGCTGAGGATCGAACCCGGGCCGCACGCATGCCAGGCGAGCGCGCTACCGCTTGAGCCACATCCCCAGCCCTAGAATTTGTACTCTTAATGTGTTCTCAGGGGATACTGCTACAAAACCACTAACACACATGATCCACAAGTCCCGCTTTTGGCCTGATGATCAAGACCCTATATAAGCTAGTCCCTAAGGAACTTCAGAGAAATTCTAGTCATCCTTCTAATGGCAGCTGCAAAGGCTCCCCTACCATAAGGTCTTCCCAGACACACAAAAGGCAGATTCACCATTCTCCTTGGTTTGCCTACAGTAGCACTTTCAAGCCTTAATGTGTATTTGAATAACTTGGACAGCTTGTTATGTTGTGATTCTGGTTCGACAGACCTGGGACCTGGGATTCTACACTTCTACTAGGTTCTCGGGCCCACAGATGGCCATACTTTAATATAGAGAGGACTGGTTGCACTGTATACCATGAGTCAGCTATAGCATTCATCTTGATACTTTGTCCATACAGAAATATAAGACAGCAGCAAGATCAGTAGCAAGCAGGGAAGTTAGGAGAAGAAACTCTAGAGCAAACCTTGAACTTCAGTCCTGTCATTAGTGTCAAACAACTGTGACCATTTACTGACTGCCTATAGGGCATCTCCTACACTAGGCTCTTCATGTCTACTCTCCTATGAATTGTTATCCCACAAAAAACACTCAGGTCTTGGTGCCTACCAATGTAACTCTTATTTCTAATTCCTACAACAAACATGTCAGGCTTGAATTAGTACTACTTATCATCAGGAACTGCACTAGCAAMTTTTCTAGAAGTTTAATTGGTCCTTGCAAGCACTAATTAAGATGAGGCAGGGAATTACCAATGAGAAAACTGAGGAAAAAGAGGTTAAATAACTTATCCAGGGTTAGCGATAGCCAGCAAATGGGGCATCCAGTATATAAACTCAAGCATTCTCACTCTAAACTTGAGGTTCTTAAGGGCTACATATGGCAAACACTATTAAGCCTGTCTTGACAGCACACCACCCACTCATACTCTTGGAAAAAAAAGAAAGAAAAGAACACCCAATTTGTTCAGAGAGGTGAAGTGTGATGTAATGTCTCAGGACAATGAGCTCTAGAGAAAGAGTGAGAGAAATCCAGGGTCATGACTCCCAATTCCTCTATGCTGTTACAACTTGCCAACTTAATTTACTGAACCCTGAAGTTATTCTTAACTGGCCAAGAATAATTTGCCAGTTATTCTTTTTTTTTTTTTTTGTACCACTGATTGAATTCAGAGGTACTTGACCACTGAGCCACATCCCTATCCCTATTTTTGTATTTTATTCAGATACAGGGTCTCACTGAATTGCTTAGCACCTCGCCATTGCTGAGCCTGGTTTTGAACTTGTGATCCACCTGTCTCAGCCTCTAGATCTTCTGGGATTACAGGCATGCACCACCACACCCGACATGTCAGTTATTCTTAACATGGCAAGAAAGTATGTCTGCCCTGCCCAGCAACAACTTCCTGTCCCCAGGGATGAGTTTCCAGGATCTCCCAACAAGCATACTATGATCACATGATGCTCACGTGTCTTTCTCCTTCTCAGAACTCTCATACTCCAGGAACACGATGTGTCGGGGATAGTGACCACAGATATCCCCATTCACATTTGGAATCACGCTGAAACAGTAGTCTCGGCCAAACAGCTCCAGACATCTCTTCTCAATGCGCTCAACCTGCACAGAGGAGATTTAAGCATGAAAAAGATTCTGGTGTTCTCTGGGTCATATTTATGTGGTCCATTACTTGAGAGGTCACTGAGAATGACATGTGCCTCTGTGATTATTATTATTATTCAGTGCTATGAATAGACATCATGATGCTAGCTCACAGACCCTACATGTTCATTAACCCAYATGGCATACTTCAGGAAGGACCCTAAACCCACTGATATTACATGTAAAAACTGTGCGTGTTCAGCATTTGGGGGGCAGGATCACAACTTTCATTAGCTTCAAATGAAATGACAACACATAAAATATATCTTTCTCAAGATTACAAAACCTGTCACTAACCCATCACCTACCCTTGGTGACAGATTATTCCCTCTTCTCCAGCTTCAGACTAGTACCTTGAAGCTCTAGTCCTTGTAATCAATAAGAACTTCAGACAGTGTCTAATAACACACCATTTCCTTATAAAAATAGAAGGCACAGCTCCCCCTAAGGCTGTTCACTTTGTTCACAGTTCAAGAAAGGTCCATTAGAGGGGAAAAAACATAAGTCTGTAACATCTCAAGAAGTTTACAAGTGATAAGAAGGCCTGGAGCGGCATCAAGCCCAGGTGCAGTGGAAGGTCTGAGGGAAATCCCAAGGGGGGAAAAAAAAGAGAGGAACTGAGACCTTCTTTTGATAAAGGAACAGAGAGGGAGTGTGGGTTGTCTTCCTGCTCTATAGGGGAAGGAAAGGGATGGGCCTAAGTCATGCTGAGACCTTATAAGGAGGCAACTCAGCAGTCCATCTCTTGGCAGTCCATCTCTTGGCTCGGTTCTGCCCTTTCATTCTGACCTCTGACCTGGAGGAATCCTCTCCCTATTTTTACTTAGATGTGGTGGTTTTGCCCTGAACCACCCCCATCCCCCAGGCACCAGAAGCAGGATAATGACATTCCTTAGCTTTCTTCTAACCTTTGCTCCAGGTCCCTCAGCTCTGACCCTTGACCTCCAAACCCCTAGTCTCAAACTAAAAAGACCGCCTTCCTCTGCTCATTCGGATTCTAGTTTCTCCTTTTTTTCATTTTTAAGCCCGCCCCTTACTCTCCGGGTCCAGACCCAGAGAAGTTCCCTCTCTACCCTCTTCCTCAGCAGACAAGTCTCACTTCTACTTTCCTGTGCCCTCGGACCTCAGTCTTTCCTTTCTAACTTCCCAAGACAGGGGTCTGCTCCAGTTCTCCGTGCCTCAGTGCTCACCTTAGAACCGCTCGTCCCGCTGCCGTCCTTGGCCCGGTACTGAGTCCGGGAGAACTCTTCTAGCAGCTCCCCGAGCCCCGGCTCCTGAGGCGGTGGGTTGCCTGAAGAGGCTGAGGACCCTGCCGAGGCGGCGGCGGCGGCCCGAGCGCCAGCCATGGTCCAGCCCCACGTCCCCTCAATGCGCCTCAGCCGGGCCCATGGCACCTGGCGGCACCGACTGCTACTCTGGAACCTCGCGAACCGCCTCAGCCGCCGCCTTCTTCTTCCACTTCCGGCCCCGCCCCACTCCGCCGGATGTTTACTCTGGTCCTGGCCAATCAGAACCCGGCACTCGCGCCTTACCCACGACTACCGGCCCACCCGTGACGCGGAGCGATCCAAGTGGTCTCCGGGAGGGGGCCGCAGCCACTCGCAGCTGTTGGGGCTCCGCCCCACGGGGTTTCCCCCGGGGAAGCCGGGCTGAACCATCGGGACTGCGGCGGGAGGGGCTAGTAGGAAGAAACCAGTAGAAAGCGGAGAAAAGTGGAATGAACCATTATAGAGAGAAGGGAAGGCACCAAATTAGCCTGGGCAACCATAATAGCAGTAGTAACTAATATCAAAACAGCATTTCATAAAGCACTTTTCCGCCACTGCTCTTCACAACGTCCTTATGAGCATAGTGCACCATATGGCCAACCACATTTTATAAAGAAATCCTATGTTGTGGAGGAATCAAGAAGGTATGAAAAGCGCTGTATTCTTTTCTCTCTCTCTCTCTAATGGAATATTTCAAATATTCAGGAAAGGGGAGACAGTAGTATACTGGAACCTCATGTATCCACCACAGTGCTCAACAATAATTGGCAAATGCCAGTCTCTCCTAATTAATGAATTCTTCCCTGTCAAGGGATTATTCCCCCCTCTTTTTGGGGGGGGCGGGGGTACTGGGGATTGAACCCAGGGGAGCTCTACTGTCTGTAGTAGTGGTCCACTTTATGCTTTGAATGTAATCCTTGCTTCTCTGCCACTGCAATTTATGTTTAAAATGGACATATTTCTTTCTCTTCCTCTCTCCCTAATCTCTCCGACCCCTAATCTTTGGGGAAACTGGTTTACCTTTCTTCCCCATTCTAGGCAGATTTAGCTATCCTTGAGTACAGGTCCACTATCAGACTTTAGGGATGATACCAGAAGATCTCTGAAAGGACCGCCTCCCAAATTAACAAGTGAATTACAACTCCAACAGAGAACTAGTGGAATTTAGCCTTTGAATCATCTCTTTAAAAGCCCCCTCCCTGTTCCTGCTGATGGGCAGAATCACAGCCTTTGGGACAGGAGTCCCTGATGTTTCTTCTTTGCTGGCAAAGCATTAACCCTTTCCCCTTTTTCTCAAAACCATGTCCTTATTATTGGATTGCCATTAGGGACAAGGACGAGCTTTCGGCAACACTACCGCTGAGTTTTGTCTCCAGCCCTTTTTATATTTAATTTTGAGACTGGGTCTTGCTAAATCGCTGAGGCTGGTCTCCAAACTGTGAGCCTCCTGCCTTAGCCTCCTGAGTTGCTAGGATTACAGGCAGCGTTCCTCTGTGCCTGGTTCTTCCATGAACTGACAAACTAAATGAATCGGTTTATCCTAAGACACACAAAAATAAAATAAGCAAAAACAAGTAAAAGGAATATATGAAAATATAGGCAAAATAGATAAAAAGAAAATTCCTCAAGCACAGAGCACTGGTAAGGACCCAAACACTATCCACAGTGAAATTATCCAAAATGGTCAGTGGCCAAAAATGGTCAGGACCAAAATGGTCCATTCAAAGTGACACTTGAATGGGTCTGAATTGCCACCAGTTGTCAGCAATGAAGTAAAGGATTTGTTTTATTCACTCAGGCAGGATGTTGATCAACTAATGCTTTTGCAAAATAACCGTCCCCAGAGTGGCATCTTAGTGAGCAGTATGAAGGAACTGGAATTTATGGTTCCAGAAGGTTTATTCACTCAACTTCTAGGTGTCAGTTTTTGGAGGGAAAGTTCCAGGAAATCAACTATTGCACACAGTTTTCCTGTGGCTATCAGTCAACCGATTATCAAGTGAAACTGTCAGCTGCCACTTGGCTCAAAGCTTGTTTTACTAGAGAAAATTCAGTATGGAGTTAGTGCTGTCAAAATACAGTCCCATTAATCATAATTAAAACACCGGTTTTTCTCAGATTCACAAGAGGCATAACAAGGCAAAACATGAATCATACCTGTCCACTGTCAGTCACTACACATTCCCCAACTAGATAATCACTATCTTGACTTCTAATAGTGTATATTGTTGGTAAAGATGGTGCCCAGAGCGCTCAGGATGCACTGAATGGCCCTCGAACCATCAACTCCAATCCCTGTGAATGGCTCGAACTTTGAATGGCGCACCTCCAATCCCTGAAGTGGCTCGAACTCTTGGCCAATGAAGAAGTAACAGCCTACTCGCCCTGCTCCTCCTCATCCCGCATTGAGCCCATAAATATCAACACCCTGTTCGGGGGTTCTCTCTCTCTCTCTCCACCCACTTCTTTTCTGCAACTGGCCACTACAGACCCGCTAATAAAATCTCAGACAGGTAAACAGTTGTTTCGGCTTGTTGAGTTTACAAAGCTTTTTCTGCCTTCGTACATATATTAGTTGTGTTTTTGAACTTTAATCAAATGAAATCATAATGTGTACTTTTTTTAATAGAGAATTCTTATGTAAAAATATTTCTGTTAAAAAAAATATTTCTGTTACTTGTACATGCACACAATTCATTCATTCATTCGTTCATTCTTTTATTTATATAAGGTGCTGAGGATTGAACTCAGTGCCCCACATGTGCTAGGCAAGCACTCTACCATTGAGCTACAACCCCAGCCCCATAATGTGTATTCTTTTGTGTTTAGTTATTTTCCTTCAACATAATGTTCTTAAGATTAGTCTATTTTTTGCATGTAATGGTAGTTGTTCATTCTCAGTGTTATGCCATTGAATAAAAAAAATGACAATTTTTTTTTGTTTCATTGCTGATGGACATTTATATAGTTTATATGTTTTGGGCTAATAAAAATAGTTCTGTGGGGCCCAGCATGGTGGTGCAGGCCTGTCATCTCAGTGACTTGGGAGGCTGAGATAGAAGGATCGAGAGTTCAAAGACACCCTCAGCAATGGTGGTGAGGCACTAAGCAACTCAGTGAGACCCTGTCTCTAAATGAAATACAAAATAAGGCTGGGGATGTGGGTCAGTGGTTGAGTGCCCCTGAGTTCAAACGATGGTACCAAAAAAAAAAAAAAAAAAGTTATCTAGGGCTGGGGTGTGTGGCTCAGTGGTAGAATGTACAGCTGTCATTCAAGAGGACCTGCATTTGAAACCCA